AAACGGTAAAGGTACCATTCTCCACACAGATCCTCATGAGCTCTGCGGGATCTCCACCAACATAACCAAATTCGATGCCGTGCTTTGGAAGGTAAGACCACGGTAGAGAGAATGCAGTATAATAGTCTCACAGACTCGATCCATGCTTGAAATTCTCCATGCGTAGCAATCTTACAGCGATGACCGTCTGCTATCAGGCCTTTCGCAAGGGCAATATAGGGTTGGACATCTCCTCTTGAGCCAACGGTAAGGAAGGTGAAATGCAATGACTCCTTGGGCTTGAATGTCAGGAACGTGGAGGAGGCAGAGGTAAACATGACAGCCGGCAAAGATTCTGACAAGGCCTCCGACGGAGGAACAGGATCGGCATCGCTGGAGGCTGAGTTCCGGGCTTCGAACTCTTCCAAAATCAGAGCATCACGTTTGCCCTGGCTCAGCTTCGGGACGTCATTGCTACTGGGCCGTTTCCTCAGGTCTTCCATCTGACGCTCTAGGACAGAAACGAAGGCTGTCCGTCGGTCCTCGACGCCAAATTCAAAAAACAATTCTTCGTGACCTTTGATGACAACGGTGAGACCGTAGTGACCAAACCTAGTAGCCCTTGACTTCTCCACATTCAAGATATCTCGAATGGGTAAAATCATCTATAAATGACGTCAGTATCGTTGGCGAGAGGCCGTACACATGGTCCTTGCCTTTGTTTTTGGAGTGAGTGGTCCACTAGATTTAAAACAGAAGTAATTGGATGACACGTATAAACGCCCATAAACGGGTAGAAGCCGAAATAGGTAACCTGAGAAATCTTGAATCCAACTTAGCAGTCATCGTAATTCTCCATGGAAAGCACATACGACCAAGTAAAGCCTCCCTGTCATCAAAGGCAAACGCAGTTCTGAATTTCTCCGTCGTCTCCGAGTCGACCACAGCTTCAGCTGTCTCTAACACACTGTACCCGAGCTCAGTAGCCGCCCCAAGAGGTTGATCGGAAGGACGAATGCCAGGGCGCGGAATAAATCTCGCGCACACCTCCAAGACTTTGGGAAGTGGTAGGCGTCGAGCCGACCCCAGTAGTGGAAACAGAGCTGCCCGCGGTCTTACGTGCGCCTCGCAGCCACGAAGGAACACCCATGTTCCAAGGTACGCCCGATGGCAGGATCCTGGTGGGAGATGGAGTACTGGATTCAATCGAAGACGTCGTAGGGGGGTATGTGTGGTCTCGGACGAGCGTTAGATTATTCGCGGGTATTGAAGGGGTAGAATTAGAGGTTGCAGGCGATGCTAGTTCATTACCGGAGTAAGATTGGGGTGACGCTGTGATCGGGATGAACGTATCACGTTTGGATACATGCATGTACTCATCAGCGCCGTTCGGTGGTTCGGGTGAACTGTGCATACGGCCAATCGGGAGGGGTAGGGTGTCATGAAACGGTCGGAGGAGTAGCGAGAGTCGGAACGGAGTGGCACCTTTAGTATCGGATGTTGGTAAACTACGGGCGCGATCGATTCCGGGAGCTACTCCTGCGGGGGGTTTGACAGTGGTGTCTAATACAGCCTGAGGAGAAACGGGGGCCAACGCACGATGGGCGCGCACAGCATCGCGAATATGGTCCAAAGCTGCCTGTATATCATGGAAATACGCGAAAAAGTAAGAGTCTGAGGATTCCTTGTCCATGACTTTGACTTCAATCGTCTCGCTGAAATCCATTGCTGTGGATTTTTCTACGTCAAGAATCACCGAATAAGGTATAGCAATCTAGACAAAGGTGAATAGCTGCAACTTCGAGAGAGACTGCGAAGCAACCTTGACGGTGTCTCCCATATTCTGCGCCTTAAACATCACCTTGCGGACGGCTTTGACCCATTCGTCCCTGCTCGGAACCGAGTCCGCAGATAACAGCACGTTCTTTTGATTCGTTCGAAGCAACATCTCCTTCTCACCTACTGGTTCACAAGCAATGACATACCGCAAATCAACGATCCCGTTCAGGAAGTAAGGATCCTGTTTCGGAAGTCAGAATATATTCCAGTAAAGATACATCGTAAGAAGCACCGATGAGGACTGGCACCAGGACAGTGCATCATTCTTGAGAACAAACCAGTATTTGATCCATCGCTTCGTCCGGGTGGCTTTCTTGCTGAGACTTCCTGACTTCAAAATTTGGTCCTGCGAAAGGTTGGAAAGGGTAAATGACAGTGAAGAAAGACGTGTACCTCTCTACTTGGCATGTGGGCAAAAAAGCATATGTGGGAATTTGTGAGATACATATACCCCTGTAATACTACTCGCAATGAGCTGCACTTTTTCGCTGCAAACTTCACACTCACAGACAGAGCGCAATAGCCAACACGGCATCTCTAGAAATTAATGAGGACGGATTCCCAATGCATGATGGTCACCTACCAGCCCAAACTTCACGAAGAACATCAATGTCAAAGATTTCCCTGAGCTTCTCAGCCAAGCGAGCCCTCCGACTGACTTTCACAGTCGCCATGCTACCAGTACGACTAGCTGCCCGCCGTCTCAGGGACGCATTCAACTCCGCAGCCACAGTAGGTAGCGGCACCTCATGTTTCCGAATGTCATCCGGTCGCGGAGTCGTCGCTTCGAAGTCGTCGGCATCGACGTCCTCTTCGAAATGCATGTTCAGTTCTGTCTCTGAATCAACTTCTCTAGACACTTCTCCCTGAACGGATCGTTGTTTTGCAGAGCGGTCAGCGACAGAAGATCCCATATGTCTCGACCACGCTACCGGACGGTAGATAGCATGGATAGACGACGCTACATGTCTCTCTGTGAACGGGAAGGTCAAAACCCTTGTCCACGATACTGAAAGGGCGACCTACTCGAATCTTCATCGGAGTCAACACTTGGTGTCGAGGCAGCCCCAAGATCATCATCATTTTCGGGATCATCCACCCACGGAAGTGCTTGTATTGCCTGGATGAGTGTCTGAGTCCCAGCACGCATCTGTGCTCAAGAGATTGTGAGAATCAACTGCAAGGTCCGAACAGAACCTTTCACGCACAGACCCTACACCCTGGATGGCTTGCAAGGACGGGCGGTCTGGGAGACGCGGCGGCGGAGGGGAAGGGGGCCTTATGAACGGGGAGTCGTCGCTTGAATTGGGGGCGGATGTTCGTTCAGGCGAAGTCTGGCTTGGGTCAACATGTCGCTGAGGACGAGGCGCAGTTGTTGAGGAACCGGAGACTTGACCTACTTGTGTAAAAGACGTTTCACCTCATGGTAATTGAGTGAAACAAGTACCTTCTTCTTCTTGGTCACGGCCAGGGGTGTTCCTCCCTTTATCCCTCTTACTCGGGCTGAACACACGCCGAGAGTCCGGGGACAACGGCGGGGACTGGGCTCGCCCAGTAATGCTCTTTCTGAGGTCAATCGTCTTGGCTGCGACTCTCTTGATACGCTCTTGAGGAGAGACATTGCCTTCTCGACCGTGTTCGTCACCCTCGTCCTGAGAAGGTGGGCCTCGCGCATCATCTGTGGCGACCAGACTGGTACGACACCTTCGAGGAACTAATTTCGACATTGATGGTCACCTCCAAGATGTGATATGGTGAAGCTGGCCCTGGGCGTTCGTCACCCATTCAATCACGTGACAGGCTGTGGAGGGTATTACAAGCACGCATGTGTCGCGTGGGCCAAGTGGAGGTCGCGTTAACGTCTCGAGGTCGACGGTCACGACTGGGTCACGACTGGGTCACGACTTTACTTCTCGTTTCTTCATTCTGACACCGAAAAATAACGATAATGAAGGGGGAGTATTGTATCGGAGGCGCATCTTTTCTGTCGTAAGGCTTCTTAGTTCTCTCGTTCGTCCCGACCTCACTGTTGCCCCAAGAGCTGTCGCTGTGCTACTCCTGATCTTTGTCCATGTATGTTTCGAGAAGAAGATTCATAGTCACAATCTTATCGACATTCGCAGGTTGGACAAATCAATACTTCATCGGTCCCTTATGGAATTTCGATGGTATCCTCGTTCATGTACTTCCTACGTTCCTTGGCTCTCGTTGACCGCGCTAACACAGGCAACCCTCAATGTCTCGGGCTATGGGTGAAGATTCTCACACGGAGGTTAATCCGTCTTATTGACGTCGACGTTCCAGCAATGCCCTCTTCCAGGCTTTCAAGGATCCCATCCAGGGCTTGTATACCGACAATGCTTCACTGCCCCTAGGACAGGGACTTGGGCTTAGACAAGAATATAAATTTGGCTTGTATTCCTACTGCGCCTATGTCACTGGCTCGTCGGGGTCCTGCTCCAATCACACTGTTGCCAGCAGATTCGAGCCGTACAATGCTATAACCGCGGACATGCTGCTCAACTACTCCCAATACTCGGATTATATCTTCGTCGGTACCACATTCAAGAATTCATCATACCTGGGGTATAACTCCCACGTCGCCTATTACTTTTTATTACTAGGCACTCTCTTTCGCGTTCCTCTCATTGCTCACGTAAGTGCTGTTCGACTCGAGATCTTTCGCCGTTCGCATGAATATTGAAGCTTTGCTCCAGCGGAGTCCTCAGAAAAACTTTTCTTTTCTTCATTTCGGCCGCGTTGGCCATCTTGTCCACGATCTTCGTTTTGATTGGGGCCGCTATATGGACATCCTTGGTCAAGAAAGCGGAGAGCATAAACACCTTGCAGATTTCGTCTGGGGTCCTGGATGGAATGAGCATGTCGTACGGGTCTGGAGTATACCTTAGTTGGGCGGCCTTTGCATGCTTGACGGCCTCTATTGTGCCATATATGATAAGGTATCGTGATTTCTAATCGAGTACTCTAGCCCTCTAACCATGATTGCATAGTTGCTGCACTTACCGTGGATGAGGTGACGAACGAAGATACCGCGCATTTTCCTGACACCCCACGCGAAACCTCATTTATGTATGGAAGTGACGAACGATGAAGCGTACATACTAATGCGTATTTATGACCTGTTGATGACATGACCGATGGGAGAAAAAAGTGATGCCATTAGCCCACCGCGAGGGTCGAACTCGCAGCCTTCAGATTGCCTAGTATTTAAGAGTCTGACGCTCTATCCGATTGAGCTAGGCGGGCGACGAAGTCACTTTTCGCTACTTGCAATACTATCCAAAGGGCCTCGCCAATTGGAAACTGGATGAATGATTTCGCCGTTTGGGTACAGCCTCGTCATTGGCAGGACGCCACACTGTTCCGCTAGTTGAACACATGTGTTCCAAGGGTCTTCGCAATACTGTTGCGGGATGGAAGAGGCACCCAAAGCGGCAGCCCGACCTTTCTATCACTCCTTCATCTGATGGTCGTGGTGATGCAGCAAGGCAGGGCTTTTGCCAAGAGTGTGGCGCACGCACGGACGACCGACGGGGCTGCAGTCACACACGATGCGAGGTCGTGGTGTCGGAAAACCAGTCAACCAGTACGAGGCGATACGTTGGACGACGATGCCGTCGAGTCCGTCGGACCGTCGGTGCTAATCAGAGAGATGATGTGTCGAGGGCGATGACTCAGCGATGACAAATACAAAGGGGATGCTAATGTAATGAAGTTTGCTTCGTATAAACAAAGTGTCGTGTTCCGCAGTCGACTTGCTCCCCCTTCCCCCTCACCCCGCCCCTCCCCCCAACTCTATAGTCGAATCATCCTCACTATCAACTAAACGACGCCGCAGCGTTTGACGATGACTGACCCTCGAGACGATAATTTGTTCTCTTCCTTTGAGCTATATGGGTCAGAATACGCCAAGCAGCAGCAGCAAGGCCTTGACTTTGTTTCATTTCACTCGCCATCTGACATCCTCGCACCTCATCCCGATCTCTTCGAACTAGAATTGGACTCTAGCCTCGCGGCCTTCAACGAAGGGGTTCACCTCCAGCTTCTCACCGTTGACTCCAACGACGCTTACTCCTTTTTGAGATCCGACACTCCAACGTGTGGGCCCCCTTCCACTATCACAGCTTCCTCCGAAAGCGCCTACGAAACCCTCTCTTCTCGTTCCGAGTCCTTTTATAATTTCTCAGACTCCTCCTATTCAACTACGAACTGCTCCTTCCCCCTCGATCTCGAAATGGACTTCCAGCGTGTCCGTGTTGCGAACAGTGACTACGGTACCAGCGCAGCCGTGCAAGGCAACACCAATAATATTCCCGTCACCGTCGACCCAAGTGCCTTTGGTGCTTTGCCCCTCAGTCCTCGCAGTTCTCCCACTGCGCCCGTTGACCATTCCATCAAGCGCGCTAGCTACTCTGATTATGGCAGTGCTTCTCACATCCCCGCCGTTCCACGGTCCGCTACCGCCGACTTCTACTTGTCCTGCATGGGCGCAGATCCTACTGTTTCTCAGTCGGGCATGTCCTCGTTACCCGTCACGTCCTGCGTCCCTCCGTCGAGAGCTGTCCGCGGCCTAGAAGAACAGTCGAAGGATGATCCTCGCAAGAAATATCAATGCCCTACTTGCCCTCGCGGTTTGTCTCTTCGATTCAATCGCATTCTCTCTGCTCATTGATCGTCAACAGCCTTTGCTCGTGCTTACAACCTGAAGACGCATATGGCAACGCACGATCCCAACCGACTGAAACCTCATGTGTGCCCTCATCGCAATTGTGGACGTTCGTTTAGCCGCAAGCATGACTTAGGTCGGCACCTTGTGAGCATTCACCGAGAGGACTCCGTTCGCTCTATGTCGTCTGCCGGGCCCCGACCTATCGGTGTCGACGGTGGACCGAGGGGATGGTGCGACAACTGTGGCAAGGGTTGGGTCGGCACAGCCACCCAATGCTCGTGCGCAGACGTCAAATAGATACTTATCTGGTGATGGGCACTGGTTTCCTGGTGAGTGCTCTCCTTTCCGGCGCTGGTAGCCAACGGACATGTGATTATGCAGGTTGGGCGATACTTGTCGCCAATCGCTTCGTCGTAGTTGATGATTGATTCGTCTGCTGCGCACACTTGTGACGTGTTCAGTCATCTATTCTACGCGTTTTTATTCGTGTATCCGTATCGTACCGTTCGTGCTACCTCACGGACCCAGCGACGAACGTGATCTCGAGCTCATGTATGGCCATGGGTATTTCAACTAGTACCTTGCGCGTATCTATGTGTTCCTTTCTCAGCTGCCCTCGAACATTCCTATACATAATATGATTTTGTATATACCTAACCCGGATGGTCGTCGCTATTTTGCTATTTCATTGTTTCGTCCTTGCCGTTCTTCATGTTTTTTACTTGGCTGCATGTCGAGTGAGAGTGGAAAGGTGTGGTTTTTACGGGCTTGTCACGTGCCTATCGTATCTCATTAATTACCGGCTCTACTTGCAGAGGCACAATACGCTCCCACCTGGAAACCGTCGAGATGATTCATGCCGTGCTCATATGTGAGAATTAGTGTTTCTCTGCGCCCTGTACGGTCCCAAACTTTGTAGGATCCCAGTCAACACCTCTGGCATCCCCAGACTGACCAAGTTCTATACCCCTCTCCATCAATCCTCCCAAACTGTTGTCCAGAAGATTTTCTCTCTCATATCCGTCCGTCCCGCAGGACTCTGTAACTTCTTGGATGCACCAGAACTCGAGGCATTCCTGGGTCCCAAGGACGACTCGAATGAACGGTGGAGAGTCGTGTACAGAAACTATGCTACCCTTTACTTTGTTTTCGTCGTCGACGGCGCAGAGAGCGAACTCGGAATACTGGATCTGATTCAGGTGCGCTTGTCTTGCGCGTCTGTCGGCTTTTACGTGAAGTCGATCTCAAGTCCTTCTGGAGGTGTTCGTCGAAGCGCTCGATCGTTCCTTCGAGAACGTCTGTGAGCTAGACCTTGTTTTCCATTTCGATGAGGTACGTCTGGAGGATTTCATACTGAAAAGCATACGGATCGCTCATACATAGACCGAAGGTCCACCACATCCTTGCAGAGATCATTCAAGGTGGTCTTGTCTTGGAGACAAACGTCGAGGAGATTAACCTTTCTGGTTGGTCAAGACCGAGTATATTGCGTCGCTGACAATGACTCTTCCCTCCAGTGAAATCGGCACTGAAGGCAAGGAAAGACTCCTTTGTATCATCACATCCCCTAGCCTTAGGCAGCGGAGGGTCACGGAACGGCGGCCTACAAACGCACCTCAACTGGCTGACGGATAGGCTGACAGGTGTAAGTGGGCGGTGAGGGCACCTTTTTCCCTATTGAATACACTGCATGCTATACATTATACAAGGTGTGACCCGTTGTCAATTCTTGTATTACTATCATCGGCTTTTCTCGAATACAAACAGCACAATTTCGGATCTTGGCGGGAGTTTCTTCACGTCCACTACCCTGAGTTTGGTTCAGGACAGCAATCGCTCACGACGCTAATGAGGCACCTAGATGTCAGCCTGATGTCATGCCCATGCCTATGAGAGAAGGAGTGGTGCGCGTACGTTTCTTCTTCTTCTTATTACCAACACCTGCAGAACTCTTTGCACCTGTAGTATCTTGCGGCGTAGAGGCACCCGAAGAAGATCCTCTGGGTGTGGTGCCCCGCCCGACAGGCGCGGGTGTCACGGAAGTCCGTCGACTAGTCCCAGCGACAACAGATTCAGGAGGATTGCTTTCGACATCCGACACCAACGAGCGTTGCGCAGTGAACGTGAGCGTCGAGTGCAACGCAGTCGTCTTCATTGCGTTCAACATGAGTATATCATATTCCTGTTTCTTTGTGACATTGGTCCCTGCACTACCAGTTCTTTGTTTGTCGGGCTGCGACGGCGTGGATTCGCCGGTTCCGCGAGTGCCAGAAAGCGTGTCTTCTCCCGAAGACTTTTTGCTGACGTTTTCCGCCGTGGACGTATCGACTATTGGCCACACAAAACCGGTACGAGGGGTATTGTTAGGCCTGTATTTACGAAGCGTGTCGAGAGAGGATCGAAGTGAATTCAACGACGCCAACTGAACTACGGAGGTCAAACCCGATATGCTGCTCATGGTAAAATAAAAGTTAAATACCAGGCGATTCGATAGCAGTGTGTAGACATCCGGCGATTGATAGATGCGGTTGTTAATGACGAAGTACGCCGCCAGGGGACGAACTGGCCTCAAAATGTCAAAGACTGATTTCCATCGCGGACGGCAGACGAACCCTCCTGTAGAGACAACCTTTCTCGTTTATGTATGATGAACAAGGATGGCGGATGCGCGTGTACCAGTGCAAACTCTATGCCCGTAAATCGCCTGATAGGCTCGTGAGTCCCACAGTCAAAGAGATGCTCGCACTGAACGGCGAGGACGTACTTGAGTTCGTCAGATTCATTAAGTATTGGCACGCCACTATGCATCGTTTGCATCCTCAAGCTTTGGTTGTTGCTCTGTTTATCATAGAACATGGAGGCTGCGAAGTAATCGAACACATTTTCTGTTGTGAGGGGTCCATTTGCCTGAGCAAGCAAATATGAAACGAGCGTTCGATCAAGAGATCGATGAGCCGTACTTGAATCCATTCATGCCAGATGAAAAATCTGTGACTGTAGTCGTCTGTAGGGTGTAGGTCGTTAAACTCCATGACCAACTTCCATTCCAACGACCAGAGCCAGGAGTCGATCAAAGGGTACCGGCCCGATCCAGTCCGTAGCGCACAGCCAATCATCCCACTCGTTTCAGAGAGGCATCTGACTGGGATGTAAAGTAATAATCTACGTCGTATAACAATAACAACGGTGCAACGTGTGCGCCAACAATTTCGAACGTTCAAACTCTCGACACACCATCTTCACGAAACACGTTGACGTCATCCCCAACTACGTCACATGTGAACTATTATGCATCGTCCCTAGGCATGGTCCACCCTGGCATTAGTCGTCCAGCAAGGTTGCTGACTGGCCCAGAAAGACCAGCCTGACTTTTGAAACTCTCGAGAAAGTTCTTGATAAGATTGTAGTCCAAGGGAGTCTCATCCTCGTCTTCCGAATCACCTTTTTCGAGCGCGGCTTGTAGTTCGGCATTCCATTGCGGCTTCGATATCCAAGCTGGCACCTGGAGGTGAGACAGGATCCTTTCCCTTTTCCCTTGTCGGCGGTAGGGATTGGGGACACCCTCGTTGCCGCAGCT